TGTAATAATGAACTTGGTTAGTAATAATGCAGAAAATTTAAAATCACTAAAAATTCTTGATATTTTTTGCTGTATGATAAATTTCATCAAATAAACGAAAAAGAACTTATTAAAAAAAACTGGTTAGCTGCAGATGTTTTTTTTTTCCCAAAACAATGATTTTTTTAGACTCCTCTTAGCATTAAGCCTTACTTTGGATGCAATTTTGAATTGAAAATTGATCAAAATACCTGCAACAAACGTTTATAATTCAAAAACTGTTTTGATTCTTCAAAATTTTCAAATGGTCAATCTCCTGAAATTCTTGTTTCAAATTTGAGTTACCTGTAGCCAAGTATTTTTGAGAGTTGCACTGAAGATATCATCCATAGCTTAATCATTGAATTTATGAATATCTTTTTTTTTTTTTAAATTTGTTTGTGTCTCGCCTGACTTTTTTTTTTGTATGTGCAAATTGCAATTGCAAGTGCTGACACATAGTGCATTTTTGTCACAGAAGTCATATTCACGTTTGGGACTAAATGACAGGGCTGTGCGGCCATCTCTTTGAAGTGAATAAGTTCAGTCATTAGTCTAGTATTTCAACACCTGATGCACCTTATCTGTGACTTTAGGGTTTTATACTCTCTTAGTTCTTCCCACATCATGACTGTTTGTGTTATACAAGTTTTGGGCCATATAATTCTTCATCCTTCCCCTCTTTCTGAATGCTTGATTTCAATGCAGCTGTTTCCTAGTTTAACTGTACATGTAACAGGTGTATCACCTCTGCCTTTAGAAAAATGAAAAGAGACATCCCATGTTGTTTCGAACCACAAATTCTAACCCAGACTATTTCAGCGTCAGTAACTAGTACTATTAGGAATAATGGTCCATGTCATACTCGTAATGAAATCAAGACTAAAGACCCATGCCTTACCCACAGTAAAATCAAGAATTAACGGCTCGTGCCTCATTCACAATTGTGAATCCAGTATGAAGTCCTTGTCTTCCCACAATAATGGTTCATGCCTTACCCACAATAAAATCAAGGAATAATGATTCATTATCCACAGTGAAATCCAAAAATAATGGTTCATTCCATACCCACTGTGAAATCCTGGAATAACAAATCATTCCTTATTCACAGTGAAATCCAAAAATAATGGTTCATTCCATACCCACTGTGAAATCCTGGAATAACGGATCATTCCTTATTCACAGTGAAATCCAAAAATAATGGTTCATTCCATACCCACTGTGAAATCCTGGAATAACGGATCATTCCTTATTCACAGTGAAATCCAAGAATAATGATCCATGCCTTACCTACTGTGAAATCCAAGAATAATGATCTGTGCCTTACCTACTGTGAAATGCACAATAAAATCAAGGAATCCTTGTTAATTCTTCATTCCCACAATACATTTTAAATAATTTTGTTCCTAGTTTAATATCCTGAAGTCATTGAACACACATTTCCAGTCAGGATTTACCTATATATTCATTGCATCAATACACACGAGTCTTGATTATGAGAAAACGACATCCAATTGAGCAATCATCAATTCAATAATTTACAGAGTCTACTCAGGGTGATTGGAAGAGAGGAGAGGATGTTGGTGTTGTATGGCTGCATAGCATCAAAGTGTTATTAATCCAATGAATCAACCCGTTGTCATTAGATTCCACTTCATATTAATACAATTGAGATAAATAACTATAGCAGTGATCAAGCTAGTTATGAAAACTGCACATATCGTGTATTCTAGTGACATTTGCTAACTGGAAATCCAAGAGGTCTACTTCAATGGTGCTGTAACTCTTGTATTCATCGCCTGACTCTATTCTTTTCAATCTCTAGTTCTCCTTCTCCATGGTGATTATCTGGTGGTATATCTATAGTACCTGAAACTTAAAGCCAATTATAATGTAGTATATAAATTTGAGATGTTTTCTCAAGATTGAATAACGTGGCTGGTTGATTTATTTTCATTTTGGGATTTGGACAAAATAGCTGCAAAAAAAAAACTATGTAAAGTATTCATTGGCAGAGTTCAAGCTTTATATTTATGTGATTTTTAAGTATATACATGATTTTACATGTGAAATATTACTTTAAATATTACTTCAAAGAGGGTGTCCAAACTTCAACGAAAAAATTCCATTTTCTGAGCTTACAGCAACAATAGCGTCAAGAACCTGTACCTTAGTGAACTTTGTATCCCAACAGTTATATACGTGAATTGGTGTTAACACTAGTGCCAAAGTTCAAAATACCATATAACTAGTATTGTCTTCATTCAAACCACTGCAAATCAGAATAAATTCTAATATAATTTCCCTGGAGATATTCACATCTACATGCATTGCCATCTAGAAGCTATGAAAATTTGGTGTTAATTGGTTGATGCTCGTATCTTATTTATTATGTAGTATTTTCAAAACACCAACGTTGATTTTCAACAAAGCGACATTTCATCTAGAAATCTATCTTAACATTGGCTGAGGCCTCTGTAATATTTAGCAATTTAGCTGTTACAGTAATATTTATGTTTTCAACCCACAAATTACACAACAATGTTGATGTAGTATGTAGTATTGAAAATGTCATAGAATAAACCTGCCTTTTTAGCTCCGCTGTCGACTTTGTCGAGTGGAGCTTATCATATGAGTGATTGTCCGACGTCATCCGTCGTCGTCCGTCGTCGTCCGTCGGCGTCCGTCGGCGTCCGTCGTCGTCCCTCGTCCGTGTCAATGTTTTACTTTTTCGACTTCTTCTTGAAAACTACAAGCCTGAATGCTTTGATACTTGGTGTATATGTACCTTGGGGAGACCTCTCTTAGATTTGTTCATTTCATGTTGATATCTTCAATTCTCTAATTTTGGTGAATATTTTTGGTAAAAAGTGATATTTTCGACTTCTTGTTAAAAACCAAAAATTCAATTGCTTTGATATTACATATATAGATACTACATGTAGACCTTTCTCAGATTTGTTCATTTTGTGATGATATCTTCAATTCTCTAATTTTGGTGAATATTTTTGTAATTTTTGGTAAAAAGTGATATTTTCGACTTCTTGTTAAAAACTGTAAGTCCGATTGCTTTGATACTATACATATTGTTCATTTTCTAATGATGTCTTCAGTTCTTTAATTGAAATGTGCATTGCTAACAGCGGAGCTATCTCAGCCGATAGGCTGCTTGTTTGCTAGTTCTATTATAACTAACTTAGGGAGGTTGATTTCCCTTAAAGTTATTTTAATAGGAAACAAATAATTTAGTAGTAAAATCTGCATAAAAAAAAAAGTGACCGTATTATTCAATGCACTTAATCCTTGGTGCACATCATTTTGTTTTTCAGATTTGATTCATGATGGCCAACAGGCAGCCATTTTGTTTTGACACATAACCTGCTGAAAGCGTCTGATGATAGTCGAAATGAATGAGAAAAAAACAAACTGTGTTAGCATCAGTGTTAATGAATGCTGTTCCAGAGCCATATCTCTGACATACCTTAACTGATTGCGTTCAAACTTCACACCTATATATAATGTCACACATTTCATTTGCAATCGTTTCAAGTTCTGATTTTGACTCATTTAAGTTTTGTTTACTGTTGCACATCAGTGGCATTATCACATCATGACAATGTCTTGTTATAGATAAAATACCATAAATATTTTATTACAGGCATCAGACGAGAATAAAAAGCATTAATTTGATTGTACACAAGGTGACGCAAACAATTGAATACTTTTATTTAAACAACAAAAATTTCCATTTCTAGTGATTTTAGTTTTAATGATACAAATGATAATTTAGCATTGATTTCAGTGAAAAAAAATTTCTTTTAAAAACAAAAACAAAACACCAAATAATAAACTGAGCTTGTAATAAGTATTTAAACTTTACAGTGATATTGACCGACTTGAATAGGTGTCAAGGACTACCTACGAAAACTCAAATTGTACTTCTTAATTTACGTGTCAGGAAAGATTGAAATGTTCCATCTAAATTAGAACATTGCGGTTATGAAGGAAAACATACAATAAATCAAAAGTCAAGAAAACTGTTCAAAACAAGCACACCTCTGTTTAGATGGTTTTATTGAGTTAAAAAAAATACAGTGAATGCTGAAATAATCCTGTACGGTGATGAGGACAGGTTATACTTGTACGTAGGTATGTATGTGTAGTGTCCTCGATAGCATGTCAATTATAGTATCCACTCAGTCATGGAGTGATCTACTTATAGGAAGGAATTTGTTGTGGAATTATTGCCATTCTGTCTGCATGTACATGTACATGTACATGACATTGGTTAACATGATTATTAACACGTGTACATTGTTTTTAACAAATGAATTTATTGAATATGAGGTAGCTGATGATAGTAGTCATTTGTCGGCCATTTTTAAACATGTGTTGAGTACCCCGGTAGCCTAAAGGCTATTTTAAACCAATGTCTTATTATATAGTTCTAACAGGGACATTGAGATTAACACAGTTCATTTAATATGAATTGAGGGTCTTGAAGATTAATTAAGTTTATAAATAATAACTGCAATGGATCAATTTGAAGTGAACATACATGTATACCAATGAGTGCATTTATTGTATATTTTCAAAATATTTGACTTATTTTTAGCACATACCACACCCTATTTATATATTAAGCATATGCACTATTAATTGCGCAAACATGATGAGGGAATTTATTTTGGGATATTTCTGACAAACTACTCATTTTTGCCATTTATGTTTCAAGATTTAAGTGTTAACACTGCCACTTTATGAACACTTCACCCATTTTGAAAAAAAAAATTGTATTTTAATACACACTATCAAATTTTCATAAAGTTGGGGAATATCGCCAATTTTTTTTTTTTGCTTTTGAACATTTAACTGGAGGTCCTGAAAACCTGTGAGTAAAATGTTCTCCTCAAATTACAAGAACATTCCTATCAATGAAAATTATACTGTTTACAATTTTCAATATTGTTTTGTTTTTCTAGGATCCTCGAAGCAAGCATAAATGGAAAATTCATTCCTATAGTAGCCCTACATTCTGTGATCACTGTGGATCCTTGCTTTATGGTTTATATCATCAAGGAAACAAGTGTGAATGTAAGTAATTCTGTTTATATCTTCTAATTATATGTACACCATTACTTTCAAATAAATGTGGTAACTATGTGAAAACGATAACATTTTAAAAACGCTGCAAATTGTTGATATTTTGCTGAGCAGAATTTTTCATCAAATAAATAAAAAAAAAAGCGAATAAAAATATGGCGTACTTTAATTTGTTTCCAAGGAAACAATAACTTTGTAATTTCGCCAGTGTTAAAAGTCAGATTTTTGTATCCATGTGTGAGTTTGGATAAGCGGTGAGCACAATTTTGCTGACTAATGTGTGTATGTTGTCTGTGGTGAAAATTGCACAAATGGAAAATCTAGTCTGATACTAGAACATGTACCTGAAAAGAAGATGTCATAGATAGCTCAACATGAAACAAGAAATATGTTTATCATGATTCTCATGACAAATTCAAACAGACTGAATACCATACGCTCAAAGAAGTGCATTGTTTGCTGTTGCTAGGCATGATGTATAATAATATGTGCATGTGCATCACATGTGCATCACATGTGCATCACATGTGCAGAACTTGTGTTTTGTCTGCCATGCCTAGGACAGTTAATATATTTATGAATGAGAGAGTGAATTTCAGTAAATGCTGAG